TAAAGAACAAGTTACTGCTTAGTGGATGATAATTATTTAGATCCAGGAATACTCCTTAAGATGAGAATGTGCTTCTCCTGTTTTTTAGAACCTAATTACTCATAAGGTGAGATGATAATAAGAATCAGGAGGACAGAGAAGTATTGGAATATCAACTCATTAAAAATGTCTGGGAATTGGCTGTGGTAATTTGTAATTGATGTTGGATCTTAAAAGCCAAAGAGGTTTCATCTTCTCCACCTGAACTAGGAAAAGAGGCTGCTGGGGTGGACTTAAAAAATTCTGGTCCTGAGAGTTTTCCATTTTCTCTGCTAAGGCTTGTTATTAAAGATTGATTTGGATTTCATTGAAACTATAAACCACCTTCCTTAGACCATCATAGACCACAAGCTGGAGAAAAATGAGTCACCCATTGTCATAAGCATTATCCCTTTTGGGGGAGAGATTGTTGCAATTTTTATATTCTAAAAATTAATAATATATAAAGGATTCATAAATGCTTGGGAATTTTTCCAGGCACAGTGAATAGAATAGAATAAAGCTGGAAGGGATCTTGGAGATCTTCTTTATAAAGTGGTACTAATACCCAGTGCTTTTTTTTCTTTACACACATCATACACCTTGCCTTGCCTACCCTACAAAGTTCCATCCCAAAAAGGTGCTGGAACTCCGTTCTGGGCGTTCTATGAGAAAAAAAGCCCTGCTAATACCACTGATCTTGATTCTATGCCTCTGTTTTTATAGCCCAGGATTGTATTAGCTTTTTCAGCTGCTGCTGCACACTGCTGGTTCATGGTTAAGTGATTGTCCACCAGGACTCTAAGGTCCCTCTCACAGTTACTGTGATTGTGACTCTGTTAGTTGGTGATTATATTGATACCTTGGCTGTGCAGTTGAACAGTGTGATGAGAAAGGCCTTACAGAAAGGTTTAGTTTTCTGAACAATGTCTGATGATGACATGAACTAATAGACAGCTAGAGAACAAGTAGTGAATATGACTGCACAGAGATCAGAGTGTCCCGTCATGTCAACTGTATGAAGATGGAACTTGTGAAAAAGCAGATTTCAAAAGACAATTAAAATGTGCTATGAGAAAATTCATATAAAATATATAATAAGTTTATTCCTTTTGAAATAAAAAACATTATGAAAGGAATTAGTCAAGGCATTTGACCCCTCTTTCAAAGCAGCGGTTCTCTCTGTCCAAAATGTGCTGTCTTCAAAAGAGTTTGCTATCTTCAAAAGAGTGGCCCTTGTCTTTTAAATGCAGATGGACTCCTGAATCTTGTCCTGGTGGGTTTGTTCTCCTATGTTGTGCCATGCGTTTGTGAAGTAGTTGTTTTGTTTCCTCAATGTTCAGATCTGCACGTCTCATTACATTGTACTGCATATACCTTGTTGCTTAGTTTGTGTCTGGGTGTTTTATCCTTGGGGTGGACAAGCTTCTGCCTTAATGTATTCTTGGGTTTAAAGGGTGCACATGTGTTGTGTTGGCTGAAGATCCTCCTGAGCTTTTCAGATATTCCTGCAACATATGGAATGACAACATTGCTTTGTTTATTGTTCTTTTCCCTGTCTCTTATGGAGGAACTCTTGCTGGGTCTGTTTTGGGATTTGATGAAGGCCCAGTTGGAATAGCCACACGTTCTGAGGGCTTCCTTGATTTGTTTTAGTTTTTTTTTCTTTCCCATCTTTGCTGGTAAATGTTTCTTCAAAGAAAAACAAGAAAGTCCAGTTGCTTCTTGAAAAAGCACCTTTGGGACTGAGAATCTCCATGGACATTTAAAATTGTAAACCACCCAGGGTTATTTGACAGGTGATCTAAATTTTAATTATTAATATTTGGTCACAGCTAAATTTAGACTAAATTTAGAATTTTTATCCACCTATTGAGTCCTTCCCAAAGACCTGTTATTTTTTTGTTGTTGTTATATTTAAATCTTAAAAAGGACTGTCTGGCTTCATTTTTATTTGGATAGGAATCTTCCAGGAATATCAAGGATTGGGAAACTGGAAAAACATCATAAAAGAAGAAAATGGAATACCAAAGAAAACATGGATATGTCCATGAATTCACCAGAGTTTAAAAATTTAGCTTTCTGAAATCAGTCAATGGAATATGTGATAAGGGCTTCTCCCTATGTGTGAGATTTTGATCAGAGCAGTACATAAACAATTAAATCAGGTGTCAGAAAATCTGGTGAGATTCCTTCTTGATGTCAATTCATTTTGTTCTATGCCTTATGGGTATGCTATATCATAAATATTTTCTGATGTCATTTTCCTATTCCTGTTGAATTTGATCGGAAGAAATTATTTTCTTTTTTTCCAAAGAAGAATAAACCTTTCACCAAAATTCTCACAAGAGTGAGGTTGTGATCCGGCAATTTCTTTAATTTCAGGTTGACTAATATTGTCTGTGATTGTCCTATTTTCCACTGCTAATTTTTTGTTTTCAGCGAGATGTAGCTTTCTCTCCCCATCCCCACTTTATAATTAAATTTCAAGGCTAGGAATTATGTCCTAACATTTTTCATGCAATCTTTTCAGATAAGGATGTATGGGCGGGGAAAGAGGCTGTATAGTGATTGAAAGACAAGCAACAGAAAATAGCCATTGCACTTACAATAAAACACATGCCAAAACACAACTAGAAGACATTCAAAAGCATTGTGAGAATGAGGAAGAAAACAGAACCTCCTTTTGGTGGAAACCACTTTCTTTGAAATTAAAATACAGATTTCAGCATAGATGTTTCTCAGTTTTAGTTTCAGAACTCAGTTTCAGTATTATTCATTGCTCTATCTATGCGCTGTGTTTTACAGGTTTTTTTTTTCTAAGAGTAAGACCCTCATGCAGCAGTCCCAGTGCTTGGGGATTCTGGTATCTTGTTTCTCTTTACTGTTATGTATCCACATTGGAGCATTTTCAGGGGATATTAAATGTATTTTCAGTACAGGTAATCCTCTACTTACAACAGTTCATTTAGTGCAGTGGTTCTCAACCTTTTTAATGCCGTGACCCCCAACCAGTCGTAAGTCGAGGACTACTCAACCGGTCGTAAGTCGAGGACTACTCAACTGGTGCAGCACCGTTTGCAGAATGGGACTTTTGGCGGGCTCAGCAGGGCAGAGACAGCCTGGACAATTCCTATTGGCTTTTGAAAGCCAATAGAATTAGACTCTATTCAAGAGAGTCTATTCTATTGGCTTTCAAAAGCCAATAGAATAAAAGGGAGTAGCACAGCTAAGGAAAAGGGGGAAAAAATGGCGGACTGCATTTGGCGACCCCCGTGAAATGGTCGTTCGACCCCAAATAGGGTCCCGACCCACAGGTTGAGAACCACTGATTTAGTGACTATTCAAAATTACAACGGCACTGAAAAAAGAGACTTATGACCATTTTTCACACTTAGGATTTTTATAGCGTCCCCAAGATCATGTGATCAAAATTCAGATGCTTGGCAATTGGTTCATACTTATGACCGTTGCTGTGTCCCAAGGTCATGTGATCAACTTTTGCAACCTTTTGACAAGCAAAATCAATGGGGAAGCCATATTCACTTAACAACTGTTACTGATTTAACAATTGCAGTGATACACTTAACAACTGTGGCAAGAAAGGTCATAAAATGCGGCAAACTCACTTAACAAGTGTCTCACTTAACAGAAATGCTGGGCTTAATTGTGGACGTAAGTTGAGGACTACCTGTATTGGCCCCATATAATTCTAGGCACTCTTAAGTCAGAACAGGATGTGGTAGACATTCTTGCCAGGGCTGATAGAGGCCATTGCAAAGAATTGTGAAGGTAATTTGAATAAAGCCATATTGTATTCATATGCATCTTAGGTTTCACTGCTTCTAATTAAATAGAATTTCCATCTCTTTAAATCTCACCCTCACATTCCCATAACATTCCCATCAAGAAGACCTACTAACAATTTTTAAAACTCATGTCTTTCATATCCAGTCCAGTTTAATTTTATCTTGATCTGTTTCAACTTAAAATGTAATATTTCCCCTTTTCTCATGATACAACTTTGCTTCTCAGATGTTGAACAAAAATCATGGATTGATATTTGCTTAGCACCTATTGGTTATTTTAAACTACAGTTGGCCTGGCATTTTAAGTGTCCGTTTCAAGTTACTTCATGAGGGAATAGAAAGGAAGTGACATGAACTAAGCACTGATAGTGCTTAGGGGGGAGGAGAATAAGATGGGGGGGGGATGTGTAAAAAAGCACAGCAAACATATTGATGTCCTGGCCTCATGGATGGCAGCTTTCTCTGGGTTATTACTGCACTAAATCTGTCAAACTAATTTCATCCTCATAAATTCAGTCCGAGACCAGAATATCAAGAGCAAACTCTCTAAGAAACACCATCCAAACGAGTAACAAAAAGAAAGGCCTAGAGAAAAAACAAAGTCAAATGGAAGGGATATCTTCTAGCAAGCAGTTTGTTAGATTGGGAGTCAAGACACAGATTTCCCACTAATCAATATGTTGCATCTGCTTTGTTGTGCTGAGGCTGCTCCTTGAACACTAGAAATCTCTGACCCTATCTGATCACAATTGGTCCTCATCAAGCCTAGCTTCTCTCATCAGGTTAATTCTGAATAAGCCAGCCTTATTAATTGACTTGTGGTATAGCCAAGCATCTCTATCTCCTTTTTAAAGGATTCTTTAGTTCAAACAATGGTTATGCATTATTATGATGGTCATAAATCTCTTCTGGCTACTGGAAAAATATAAGATTGTGTATTGTTTTAAGAAAATTTCATAAGAAAAACAGCCCTCTTGCGAAAGATTGTGGGAAGGCTGGGAAAGTAATGGGGAAAAAAACTAGAAGTGAATAATCTAGAAATAGAAGGGAAGTTCAGAGAAACTCTGCTTTAATAAATAAATAATGATTAGAAATAAGAAGGGAAATTAACTGAGACACAAGTATAGCTATTTCTGTAATGCCACAATCTTATTCTTTCTTTTTTTTCTGCAGTTATAAGAATGTGATGACCCCCAAACGTGCAGGGGTTGCTATTGGATGCTGTTGGCTGATCTCCTTCCTTGTGGGCATGACTCCACTATTTGGCTGGAACAGACTGAGAGAGAAAAACTACACCTTCAACAACTCTTGCCAATTTGAGAGAGTCATCACCATGGAATACATGGTGTATTTCAATTTCTTCGGGTGGGTGTTGCCTCCACTGGTCCTTATGCTCATCATCTACATAGAGGTTTTCAAGATAATTCGCAAGCAACTCAACAAAAAGTTTGGCTCCAATTCAGCATACCCAGAAAAATATTATGGGAAGGAACTGCAAATTGCTAAATCTCTTGCCTTGGTGCTATTCCTTTTTGCTCTCTGCTGGCTTCCTCTGCACATTTGCAACTGCGTCAACCTATTCTCTGTTAAATCGGAGGCTTTGGAAAAGTTCACCTCTATTGCTATATGTATGACTCATTGGAACTCAGCCATGAACCCCATTGTTTATGCATTTAGGATTAAAAAATTCAGAACCACATTCCTGCAAATCTGGAACCAGTATTTTTATTGCAAAGTGGACAAGAATGCAAATAATATTGGTAATACTGACATTGCTATTTAGGAGTTATGGACTGCAGTGGTTGGGGCTGCAGCTTTCAAACTATACAGGATGATCTATAAATATTCCTTTCATTATTCAATGTCTCTGAGTAGGCAAAGCGCACAGGCAACCAAGAGTTATTATTTATTACTTCTACTAGCAATATTCATTGTACCACTTGATATTCTGTTCTTAAATTGACATATTTTACCTATTTAAAGGGGAAATATACCAACAAAAAGCTGTGACATATCTTTCATTCCAATAAAGAAGAAATTAATCTCAGTGGTTTTGTTTTTCCTGTAGGAATTTGCAATATACTGGAGTAAATGTTGAAGTCCTCAATAGTCATATAAAAGAATCCAGAGAAAAAGCAAAGATTAATCTGGAGGAAACTCTTGCCTTCAATGGTTGTAAAACATGAGCACTCTCTATATTTAATATTGACAAGTACAATAATTAAGAGTTTGTATGAGCAAGATCAGAGAAGCAATTCATATCCTCATATGTTCAGCAACTTAGTGCCAGTCGCAAGCTTTTTTTAGATGCCACTATTATGTGACTTTTTTTCTTGTTGCCATAAATCTTTACATATTTAATACTAGATTAATTCAATACATCAGCAAAAATCTAATTGAATAATAGACAACAGTGGGTTCTGCCAACTTGGTGAGATTCAATAGGAAAGGCCTTCTGCAGAGCCAGAGCAGGAATCTTCTTTGTGGTGGTTCCCCTCTTCTGGAAAAAGTATGTCCCTGAAGATAGTGTTGACCCATCTTTGTTGCAGTTCCTGATATCCATTAAAACTTGAGTTTTCTAGACAATCTTTGGAGAGAGTAAGCTGTGATGGTCCTGAATATAGGCAGTGCCAGTTGACTGTCCAGTCAAATCAAATATTTGTTATGGTCAAAGACCAGCATAAGGAGAAGGGTACAGTCAATTAAAAGAATAAAAAAAATACCTCAAAGTTTTTAAAAATAATATTAATTATAAAAAACTGAGAATTAAAAAACAAATATACTATACATATAAAAGCAAAAGCCTAAAACGAGGAGTAAAACATTAGACTGGTGAAGGAGAGCATATGGTTAATATCTGGCAAACTAAATCTATTACAGATCATCAGGTGGGTTTTACACACTGCTTGGGAAACCTGGCAACATTGTGTGTTGTAGCAGGTTAGTATCTGAAAGCAGCAGGAAGGTGTAGAATTGGCCTGCGTGCCTTGGGAATTTATGCAATAATAGCGACATGAGGCTAGTACAAGTGTTTCTGTAATGTAGGCACTGGAGGAATACATGCTCTGTTGTTTCCATGAGCCAGAGTCACAGGACATAACCTCTATGGGTAGCGAATTTTCTTGTATCCACTCTCAAGGACAGCTGTCCTTGTGTCTGACATTGTACTATACAGAGTAAAGACACTCCAGTGATTAGGCACTTTGAGATTAGTTAAGTATGCCATGGGGGAGGCACAGTACTTGTTGGATTCACCAGCAATAAAGGTTGGGTACCTTGCTAGGTCTAGTTGCTTGCAGGTTATGACATTTTTCTAATTTTGGATGTTGGGAATTGATTGCATTTTATCTTAGTACTGAGAATGTAAACAATGCAGAGCTGTTATCAACTGGAGTGCCATATAAGCCTAAATAAATAATCAAAGAAACAAATAAATCTTGGGGTTTTTGTGTCTCTTTGCTGCCACTTAGTGATCATGTGGAATTTTGCTACTCATATGTAGTAGCCCTTGATGCCAAGGAATTCTTTTAAGATTTCGTTTCAAGTTTCCTCTTTACAACAATACAACCTATATCAAATTGAATATGCCCAGTTCTAAGGACAGTTTTATATCTAAAGATAAAAATGCTTTTATAGAAATGCAAGATTAAGAAGTTAAATTAATTGACCATTTGCTTCAAATCTGCCACTTTTATCTAGACATCTCACTTTGTCAAGTAATAATACAGTCTTCATTTTTTGAATGCATGCATTGCGATTGCAGGTAAACTTGCAGTCAGGGAAAACTTTAAGCTGTATTGATTTGTTACCGTGAGCTTCCTAGAGATGAATAACCTGAAGAAGCAAGTGTTGAGTTAAAATTTTTGACAATTATGGAAGATTGGCTATGTTTAGGAGCAAAAGGTCAACAAATTCTTTTGTAATTGATCTAGACATGCAGATGAGATTAAATTCAGCTTCCCTACCTATGAGAAACAACTTGCTACAGGAAGTTCTGGCTTAATGGCCAGTTGCTTAGTAACCAAAGTTATGATGGATTCCCCCAAAGGTACTTATGACCCAGTTTCCATGGCCACACACTTCCCCCATGATCAAGTAATTGCCTCTTGGGCTCTTGACATCTGTCTTGCATTTAGGGCTATTTGTTTTGTTCTGCATTCAAATGACTGCATTTTTTGCTGATTTTCCAAGATTTCTGAGGTTTCTGCCAAAAAAATGCCCATTGGATAAAATGGATTCATTTAATGACTTCAGCATGCAATTAATGACTTCAGTGTTCACTTAATAACTACCACAAAAAAAGGTCATAAAATTGGGTGTGGTCACATGATGCTTAATGACTGCCTCAACTTCTGGGCTCAATTATGGTTGTCAAGGACTGCCTATGCATCTAAATAAGCAGAACAAATCGTATAACATATTAACTTTCTTGGGAAGGAAGTGGAGGAAGAGTCAGGCCCTGACAAAATCTATAAATATTGAATCACCAGGCTGGATAAAGAATTGTCAGATCAAATAATATCAGTGAATTCCAAAACTAACATAATTAAGAAACTGAAGCAGGACCAGGCCAAGAAGTTGATTGTGGCTTGTATTTCAGTTCTTAGTTTGTTCCAGTCTTGATGTTGAACTAATGTATATTAATTAACAATATAGGTAGGCAGTATTTCTTTTCTTTTCATCAGAGGTATTAAATTGATACCATGAAAAAACAATTCTATTTAGCAATCTGAGCAGTACAACTACCTAGTGCAGATTAGACAGACCTCACATTACAAAATTATCATTTCTACAAAATTGAAGAACATTAGCTAATAGAGCTGTGCTTCTCAACCTTGACAACTCTAAAACATGTGAATTTCAAGTCCTAGAAATCCCCAGCCAGCATAACATGGCTAGCTGGGGAATTCTGGAAATTGAAGTCCACAGTCTTAAAGTTTGCCAAGGTTGAGAAATACTGCCTTAGAGCATATAATCAATGAAGGTTTGCTTTGTTTCTACTGAACATGAATAACCTTGATTTCAGAGTAACATACAGTCTTATTATTCTAGGTTACCTAACCTAATTGCAAAAGTACAGCAGTCTGAAGAATGAAAGGCCCAGAAATTGCCATGGTCAAGGGATATTTATAAGCCTGTGTGTACCAGGGGTCCGATTAACAAACAATAGCATTCTGCTTCCATTTGCATGGTTGTTTGAAAGTACTCCCATTTCAGCAGTGCACACATATATCATAGCACCAGAGTCACAAGCTTCCTTTCCATATGATTATCAGCTTAATAAATTCCCATGCCTTTCCTGAAAAAAAGATAATTCTGTGTTCTAAAACTTGCTGGAATCTCATTTTTTTTTCCAGTGGAGAAAAAAGACAAGTAGTCCAGTTGCTTAAAAATACTTTAGCAACAGTTCTCAATTAATTAGTTCATGCCTAAAGAGAAAGTAGGCTATCTTGCTTTTGATAATAAGAACAGAGATTCTCTTAAAATATTTATGAGCCAGATTGTCTGGGTCTCCTTGTTTTTGTTTTGTACCAAATTGCTTAATCTTTTCCCCCCTTTTGTCATTTAGAAATGAATGCTAGAAGTAAGCAGGGAAAAAGATGAATATATAGTAATGTGCAGGTTTCAGAGTTTCCCTGAAAAACTCTTCCATTATTCTAAATTAAAAAAATGGTAAGGGAAAAAGACAAAAAAAATGGTATTGTCTCCTCCATTTCTCTTTTTCCTTCTGTCTTTCTCTCTTTCTGTTCTTCTAGTCACTTAACATAAGTTAAATCTGCCTTATTCCTGTGACTCCACTATGGATTTCCATCTGCCATTGATTCCTCTTCAGGAAAATCACAAGGTAACACATGTAATTCTCTTTCAAGAATCTAACCATAATAATTTAAAATTATTGAGTATTTAATTAAAAGGATATTGCAAAACTAGAAGAAATGCTGAAACAGATAACCAAAGTTATCAATAGGCCACAGCACAATGTTTAGGTTTTTTTTTAGCAAAAGAAACAGATGAATATCAAAGATTATGATAAAGGTTACCAAAATTATCCCTGCAGTGGATACTTCTTTTATCATAATCATCTAGCTGCTGAAGAACCCAATGCCAAAGTAATTCTAAGTGTCAGTTACTGGAAACTATAAACAACAGGATGCTGTTTTATTCTACTCATTTATTTATTTTTGGGCTAGTGGCTTGGCAAAAAAGCAGGATGCAAAAGTAGATAGGTCTTTGTTAGGATTCAGTGGGTTAATCTAATGATCTCGTAGAGTTTCCTCTAAATCAAATTCAGCTCCTGGTAACTTCATAAATGCCTCCATGTAGTTACTGGCAACAATATTGAAGTGGTTTCCATACCTTCTTCTAGTGCACAGGTGTCAAACTTGCAATGTCACGTGATGTGTCGCAATGTATCACGACTTTTTTCCCATTGCCAACAATGGGGTGGGCACAGTTTTGGCGTGACACATCCAGCCTGCGGGCCGGCAATTTAACACCCCTGTTCTAGGGTATTTGTTCTGCTTCTCAGTGAAGCCTACAGCCATATAGTTCCTCACCTGAGTTCTAACCAAATGCAACCTTCCCACCCCAGATGAGGTCAGCTGGTGCTTCAACTTACTGAGCCTCTTGTGTGTTTAAGGGTGACAAATGAGAAACTGATTTGGAGAAGAGGGAATAAAGAATCACAACGCAAACAGTATATTCTGACAAACAATTCTTACCTAAACAATGACTGGAAAGAAAAGCACAGGTCCTGAATTTTTTTGCATTAATACAATAAGGGCAGCCCCTTTATTCAAAATCCTTTCCTGTCAAAAGTGGAAACTTTCCTGGGTGTAAGAGCTGTCAGTTGTTGCATTGTTTATCAAAGCAGTAAAAGATAATTTGAATTTTGAAGTGAAAATATTCCTTTCTCTCCATTCTCAGTCTAAAGAAAGGTATATTCTCTGCTGTTTCCTTCATATTTGGAGAGGTCCCTATTTCACTGCTCCCAAATACTGTAAAGCAAGAACACTTTATCCCTGAGTGTTCCTTCAATAAAAGTTT